GTGTTTCACGTGGCACTTCCAGCTTTCCTGGCTGCTGTTTACTGTGGGAGTGTGACTTCCCATCCCTGTATCCAGCCCAAAAATGGGGTTTTTAACCATGTTTGTGTGAGTCAGTTAGGCAGCTGGATCTTTTCTCTGACCCTACAGGCCACAGCACAGCTTGAAACTTTGCTCCCTGGCCAAAACTCAAGAGTTTGCTTCAGTTGCAGAGCCAGCTGGAGCCAGTGAGTGGCCTGTCCTACCCCTGCCCTGTGTCCTGGGAGAGGGCAGAGCTGTGCCACGGAGTGTGCTGGCAAACATCACGTGCCAGTGCTTGAGCTCAGCCTCTCCAGTGAAAGAATGTGAAGGTTTCATCAAAGGTGTAGAGTTCTCTGCTCAAAAGGAACGTGCTGGGCTGGTACAACTGAATCAAACCCTGTTCTACCTTTGGTGAAGCTTTGTAGCACAGCACAGGGGAGAGTTAGTCTAGCACTTTGCAGTCTACTGCTTAATACTTACAGATCCAGGTTTGCTTTGGCTCGGAAGGTGATGAAACTTGGTGCTATCCATCATGGGCAGTTTGTCACTAACAGCATTCTCCAGGCTGTGATGTGGCAGATCCCAGCTGAGGTTTACACCTGCCACGTCAGCCCCTTACCTCCCACAGCAGAACCGCAGTTGGGTGTTTTTGTAGCTCACCCGTTGTTTGAGTTGTATCTTTAAGATCTCAAGGTGCAAGGTGTTTGTTCCTCTGAGCACTGGGAGTGCCTAGGGAGAAGGAAGGCCTTGGATAGCATTCTGTGTTCTAGCAAAGAATGACTGGCATTGTGGCATTACCCAGGGCTGAAAACTACACTAATTAATTTGATTACTGCCTCTGTTTCTACTCTTTTTCTGATAGATTTAACGAATTATCAGGTGTTGCCAAAAATTTAGGAATGCCAGGCAGGCTGTGCTGGAGGGAGTCACTGGACTTCTTGGATCCTGTGTGTTTCAGGCTGTAAGTGGACAGAGTGTGGGACAGGCCCTGCCTTTGAGCCAGAGGAGGTCAGTCACCTGGTTACCTGGCAGGACAGTCGCTGCACTCCCACCTTCCTCTCCTCTCTTCCTCTGCCACAGTCACATGTGAGCTTGGCTACAGGATTTGGATGTGCCACAATCTACTGGTATTTAAAGAACAGGTACATTGTTTCTCTCTGAGCTTCTATGTCAGGCTGTCTCACTGGCAGTGTCTCATCTGTGGTAATTAGTATTCCTGTAGCATGTTGATGCTGCCACAGGCTGAGGGGCTGCATTCCTCTGTAATCATGGTCTTGATTAAGTCAAAGAATATTTAAAATGGCAATATTTCATGCCAACCAGCACGCAAGAGTCTCTGACCTCATAAAAATACTACAGATCTCTAATAAAAAGAAAATATTTTTGACCATGGAATATTCTAGTCCATCCTGTCACTCAGAGGAGCATTACTAATGCAGTTTGAACATTGTCATTTTGCCTTGTGCTGCTGGTGAAAAGTACAAACATGCCTGAAACAGTGACAGAGCTGCTTGGTCTGGTTGCTGCCAGATGCTAAAACAAATAGTCTCTAAATTAATTTCAGTTCCTTCCTTCCTCAGTCACTGAGATCCTCATGAGGTGTAACGAACGCTCTGCTTTGTTGTGGCATGTTTGCAGAGGATATAATTTTTCACTTATGACTTGGCACCAGCAAGATTTGTTCTTCATTTTCACTCAAAGAGCCAGTGGCTTCCTCTGCAGAGAGCTCAGGTTCCACAAATGGGAAGAAACTTTCTAGGTCTTGGTTTCTTTCAGTATGTGCCTGACAAATACATGGAGCAGGGCATGATCCTGCTTTAGGCTTGTCTAACTCCTGAGTGCAGCTGCTCTGGTTTGTTTCACCATTTGGTACATTTCCATTCATATAATTTGTGGCTCCTTGAGAAACTGTGGGAATGTACCTATTTTTCTCAAATGCTCCAGGATCAACAAAGTGCCATTTTTGTCATGCAAACTATTTCTACCTTCCTGGTAACTTTTGCAATGGTATTGTTTGAACCTAGACAACTCATTCCTTAAAGCCACTGTCTCTCCATATTCCATCAGGAGAAAAGTAT